TATTTCATGTTTCTGTCCGCTTTAATAAAACACTATAAATTTTTAAGAATAACCAGAACGATTGAATTCGACTAACAGTGACATCCAAATAATTTTTCATTTATCACAACTTTATATTTTAAAAAATCTAAGATTATCATAATTTTATTTTATCATTATTTAAAAATTGTTGAATTATTTTTTAAATAAATCTGCTATCAACACATCATACTAAGAAAAAAATTATTATGTCTTTAAAAATAAAAAAAATTCATCTAATGTTTCTCTCAAGTCTTCACTTTAGTCATTGTTAGTCGTTCAAGTCGATCAGCATGCACGCTTATCGCATAGGCGGTAAGTTTCAGTCGAACAGCATTCGCTATCGGTATCGACATACGCACATAGGTATTCTAAGCTTAATCATATTTGTCGATAGAATTGACCTCATTTCACTTGTTGCTTACTATACCTTGATTCCGTTCTATTTGCATACGACGGATGCGCCGAAAATTTTTTGTAATGTCAAGTATCGTGCATCTCTACATAAAAATCGACGACCTATTGAATATCTCTCTTGGTATCCGCGTTTTCGAATCCACTATGCTTCACAATCTAATCAATTTGAACTACTCCATTTTATTCAATTATTTAAATAAATTTAAATACAAAGCAGATTTGTTTTAGAATCTATACTTGTTAATTACAATTTTATATTAATTCCTTGATTAACATATATCAATTTAACATTGTTATAACAGACGAATTTGATCAACAAAGCATGGTGGATTTAAATGAGTACATACATTTAACCCTTAAATGCGTTTCCCTGCAAAACTACAATAATCTAATCTCCTGCGAATGATTTTTCTTTTGCTAAATAATTTACATCACATCATCATGTGTTAGTGTTACAGAAAGTAGACTAAAGTAGACTATATTACTTTCCACTGAAAAACGCCGTTAAGAGTCAAACTTCTCTGTCGAACTACCGCGGGAACTATTTTCGTGGCTAAGATACCGACTAATTCGTCAGTGCACAATGCGATTTATCTCTAAAATTGGTAAAAACATGACCGCGCTATTAACTATATAGAGTCACCTGTAAGCTCGAATTTACGGTTATTGAGTCGCTTCTCCGTTTTAAGCACCTAGAGCATACTCCTCGCAAATTATTCGATATCGAGAGAAATTCATTAAGAAACGTAGGAAGAAATATCCAAGAATATCCATCAAATAACCAATGTTTCCGCATGGATTAACGTTTCATCATTGGGACAATCGCGGTACGAATATTAATATTTAACGAATTCGTCTAAGTTCTCTCTTCGATCTTACGAGACAGGTTTGATCCGACATGCTTTCGCTCTAGTTTCTCCTATAACACAGGTCAGACTCGGGAACGTCGCAGAAAACTGACACGACGATCTCTTGGCCGTAAGACCGATAGTGTCAGAAAGTTCGTAGCTTAATTTTTCATCCAAATTCCCGGGACGATTCCAAAAAGTTCCAGGCACGGCTTCGTTACGTTACTCACTAGTTAAATTATCGACGATACATCAATCGACGAATATCACGAAGTATATATTAATTTTTTCGATTTATTTGTATACGAGCTCTAGCCCTCGCTCTAAGATAGCAAAAATAAGCATTTATATATCCAGATCTAGAACTTTTCGGATGTATTTCACAGTTACGATCATCTACGCGGTTAATGTTGTTTGATCAAAATTTGTGAATATACGCCAGCTTACCTCTTTCAATAAAATATTAAATTTTATTAATCAATTGACCGAAATTAAATTTTTGTTAAGAAATCGATTAAATATTTATGCGAAAAAGAAAGTTTTCATGGTGTCTTATATAATTTAGCACATTGAAAGAAAATCAGTTGAAAAATTTAACATTTTTCACAGCGAGAGGAAAATCTTGAGAAATGTTTGTGGCGACTCGCGATTTTTATTTCGACGACGAATTTCGACACTCTCGGCCTATTTATTTAATAGCGACATTGATTAACGATTATTGTTCTCACCGTCGACGACGAGAAGGATAAAGTAAGTAATATTTACCTAGGGAGAAGCACCAAAACGAGTCGTGAACATACAGCTCTCAGCTGAATTGTAACTTTCTCTCTGTCTCTTTGCTCTTTCTCTCCGTTTTTCTTAAAGTCGATGCAGCAGATTTGAAGTTCCGCGATGTTAAAATTGCATCGTGGATTCATCCATTGATCGATGACTAAACTTACACTTTTACATTGTCTACTGGTAGTAGCGGTTTATTTATATTAGTTGTACCTAATGCATACCTTAATATCTAATATACTCTAATATATGGTCTAAATATATAATATGTTGTGTACGTAATATATATATATATATATAACGCGTAACACTATTAAACGTACAATATTTACTTGTATAGAGTATATATTCAATATTTTTCTATATAATATCATATATATATATATTTATTTATGTATAACGCAGTTGGCGACTGTTTTTTCGTATTCACCTCTGTATTACTTTAATTACATGTACAATAATATAATGTTTATCTTTCTTTCATTCAAAATTTTAGATTTTATATTTCTAATGAAATTTCGAGTTCCCTCACATCTAATTATTCTTCACTATGTACTCGCTTCGCTCGCAATAAAAAAAATATAATTTTTTTTCCATTCTGCTTAAACGTGACTGCTTGCTTCTAATCGTAAATGAGCTAATATGTTTTACATTCAAAGTAAAACAGAATTTTAGAAACAAACAGCCATATTTAAAACAATTGATGGTTTTATTGACATCGATCTTATATTAAAGAAAAGGAAAAAAAGAGAACTTATTTCCGTATAATAACTATTTACTAATTCGCGCTTTTGTTTACGACACCAGCATTTAAGAGCAAGAAATAATGTACTAATAGCGCATGCCGGTTTTGAAAGGGGCACATTGTGCAGCGATAGCGTGCGCCTTAGAGCACTATGAGGTTACTTTTTTATAGACGACAGAGATCGTTGTACGCACGGCATTGTACGTCGGCGAGCCTTAACTCTTCATCGTCCTTTTCCCGTCTTGCTCTCCATCCGCACTCACCGCCGTGTCCTTACAAAATATGCAGTTATGCAGTTATAACAACCGCGTTGTGTTCTAGGATTGGTTCGTGTTTTGCGAGATGGCCGCGTTATAATCTAAAGTTTACCAACGTATCTTATATCTTAAAAATTGACTGAGATACCGCCGATCGCAGCATCGAAAAGGCTTTGAAGCAGGGATCAGAAATAATAATACTAATTATATAACGGCGATAAATTATAAACACGAAAATTTTTTTATTTTATATAACAACCGAGATAAAAATCTATTATAATTACTAGTATAATGTAATATCAGCAACTTCGATATTACAACAGTCTTTATAATAATATAATATTACTATTATATTATTCAAAATATCAATACACCAAATTGAAGCTTTTACTTTTTTTTTTCATAATACAAAAACTTACTACGCTCGAAGACAAACAGAGACATGTAAAATTTGTTCTAAGAATAGAATTTTACACACACACACATATATATATAATTCAATATTATTCAATATTATTCAACAATATTAATATTATCAATTAGATTTTTGTATTGTATTTATGATACATATTTTATTAAAAAACTAAGGGAATAAAATGAGTTATACAAATACAAAACTTTACGATTAATTATAGTCATTATAGTTAAAAAAATTTTTTTATAAAATGTGTACTATACAGGGTGTAACTGAAATAACGCCTACTAATCATACAGTGCTATTCCTAATAAAAAAAACTAAGTCGAAAAGTCGTTTACCATTTTGCAATTTTCGCAGTAGTTAACGAGATATTAATTTCTAAATATTGCCGAAAAAACGGATAAAATCGATATATGACAATTTTGAGATGTCTTTCCGTGTGCTTTGTGAAATATTTTGAAGATTTTTCTTAAAGAACTCTTAAAGAAATCTTAAAGCTGTCTTATACGTCGATTTTAGACATTTTGCTCATTGGATAACTAAAAAAAAATATTACGAAAATTGCAAAATGGTAGAGGACTTTTTGTCTCAGTTTTTTATTAGCAATAGCACTATATGATTAGTAGGCGTTATTTCAGTTACATCCTGTATATTTAATTATTTCATTTACAAAATCAAGAACTGACAAATTTAATTAATTTGAAAATATTAGCATTCAATATTATAATAGTAATTATATTGTTATAATATCGATAGTTCAAAAAAATTATATATTTACGATATTATGAAAATTTCGGTATTCGTGTGACGTTTAGTCGATATAATTAAAGAGTTTCATTGTTTTATAAGATAGAGATGTATATAATATCAATGTACAATTACTAGTAAAATTACTAGTATTATTTCAACATTCAGTCCCTGCTTTCAAAGATCTCGAAAAAATCGCATGAAGGAATTACACGGAATTGTTAAAATGACGCTTTCAGCGAAGTTAGTCTACCCCAAGCTCTAAGCGTTCTCAAATTATTTGTTTTGACGATTTAATGTCTTGGCGGTTCGAATTCGAAGATCGGAGACGATTCATGAATCGGAATACCCGCGAAGTTACGGCTCAAGGGAGCTTTCGATTCAAATCTTTCAATAATAATCAATGATGATTTGACAATTAACCCTTAAAGTCTGAATTTATACTATGTAAATCCATAGATATTTTATTATAAATTAAAAGAAAATATTTTCCACATATATATAATAATTATATATAAAAATAAATTATTTAAATAAAAATATATATAAACATATAACATCAAACTCATAACTATGATTATTAAAGTAAAGCCCTAATGATCTCTAATAAATAACATTAGGTTTCTCATCATTGATGTCACTTTTTGGAAATTAAGGATTAATTACCAGTCACAATTGAATTGTAAATCATCATCAGAAAGAAGAATAATTAACAGAAGAAATAATATTTTACAATATTTTACATTAAAATTTGATTTAATCATATACGTTACGAAAATTTTCTTAAATCCGTGAGAGCTCGTAACCTCGTAATCGTCATAAGCATCTTCGGCCTATCTTGAGCACCGGCTCATTGTTACAAAAGCTGAAGACGTTTGATGAAACGATGATGAAGCCCTCGCCGACGTTAATCGCACTCGCGGCGATAGTTTCTCGCACCACAATTGCACTAACGTAAATTGGCATTTTTGAAGTACGTATTTCGTCGTGATCTGGCATCATTATGTCTATATCTTATCACAAGTCGTCGGTTCACCCTCTCGTCCTCGGCATGTCGAGCATCTGCAGAAACATCTGTAACAGAAAGAAAACGAACCATCTTATTATGGATTGATTTTTACATAAAGTTGCAATTTTTACATATGATAAGTTTTTATTTGAAATTATCGTACTTTTTATAATTAATTAAATAATTATTTTTTATTCAATGTAAACAATAAATATTAAAATATTCCTTACAACGATAATAATTATATAAAATATTACATTTAGTAAGTAAAAATTAATATGTAAAATATTTGAAAATCTAGCAACTTTTGCAGCATTTAGCGGCACGTCTTTTTTATTCTTTTGAGAAGAAATGTGACTTAAATTAGATATGATAACTTCATCCGAGAGAGTTCAGTTTCATAGTACTTGAATAATCTTAAACACAGTCTAAAACAAAAATACACTGTTAATTATTGTATATAATATATTTTATTCTAAAAAATAAAGAAATATACTTCAAATTATAAAAATTTCAAAGCCTTCATTCAATCTTCATTCTACTGAGATGTTTTTATCTGTTTTGGAATTTTAAATATATGTATAACATTTTAAAATATAGCTATTTAGATCCCTTAAAACTTATTGGGTGTAGCGTTTAAATAATTAGCATTTAACAAGAAAATTCGGTAATGGGCATTCGATTAATGCATTAGCGAATTAATTCAATCAGCAAAGATTGTTTTAACGCGATTTCTCGGAAGACGGAAACTTCTAAGATTGTCCGCCTGCTAAAGGGCCCTTTCGGCTATTTTCCACATGCTTGATCTATTGCCCTAAATTGGTCCAGCTATGCGACGAACGAGTCCGACTTCGAAGAAGTCGACCATGACATCAACTTTTTCATTCCTAATATTGAAAAGTTTTCCCCAGGCCGCGAGAGCCAGAGAGATCAAAATCCCTCTTTTCCGATCTCTCGACGTTCGTCGAAATAGTCGATGACGGTAGCGACCGGAAGAGATAGTTTTGCAGATTGATTAAAGAGCGAAGGAGAAGGATCGCAAATCGTGACGGGAAAAATGAGGAAGGGTAATTTGATTATTTGAGCGAGAGAAGGCGTTATTGAGAAGAGACACAAGGAGATGACGTAACGCTGTCGTTATATTAGGTTGTTACAAAAATCGCGTCTGCGAGAGTGACTTTCCTTACAAAAGCGCGCGAAACTTCCGTAGCACAATTTCCAACGAGATTCTGACAAAAAGTTGTAGATGATGAGCAATGACGCGCAAATATGTGTAATGGAATAGAAGTAAATGGTTGATAAATGTAACGATGTGAGTCACTCAACAATGATGCGTATCTACTAATCATCGAAATTATAATTAAAAACAGAAATGTTTGATAAAGAAAAATATGTATAAGAAATGGGAATTACATAAATATAATAAGTGATACACAATAAAGTAATATAATAAGTAATATAATAAGTATAATAATAAAAAATAAAGAAATATATATATTGAAAGTAAAGAAAAAAGATGATCAAAGAATGATAAAAAAACAGAATGAAGAAAGAAAACAACAACGAAAAGGATCATCAAAAAGAACGGAGTTCAGAAATATAACAATATATAATGCAAATAGATAATAAATATAAGGGATGATAGGAAACAAAAGCGAGAGAAGTCGTAATCGTTCCCTTCAAAGGAAGAATAAGGATGATGGAACAGGATTAAGAGCGAAGAAAGAAGAATAATACGGAAGGATATACATTGTATGAGAGAGACAAAACAATGAAGACATGATGAGATAATAAATATCGAGAAAGATAGTGAAGTAAGGGGACAAAAAAAGAGCAAGGTACAGAGAAAGACTGTGTTAAAAGAACAAGAACGATGTGGCGAGATAATAAATATCAGGAGAGACAGAAAAACAAGAAGAGGGGAACTTCTCTCAATTCGAAGAATGCAAAGGAGCGAGGATAGCAGGATCAAGATCGAAGCCGAAGCGAAAATAATGCATAAGCGAGCGGCGCTAACAAGGTCGACGATGCAGGATCAAGATAGGAACTCAAGAAAGAAGAACATGAGATGAAGTTAGGGGACAAGGACAACAACCTGAAGTAATAGATACCAAAATACTCCAATCAAGAAACACAAAGAAAGAAGAATAAAAGAAGATAAAGTAGAAGCAAAGGGACGTAGAAAGGGTGGACCAGGTAACGGATATCAGGTTATAGAGTTGAAAAAAAGTTAAAGAAGGTAAAACTAGAGGACGAAAATGGAGGAGCGAGAGGGGGGAGAGAGAGAGAGAGAGAGAGAGAGAGAGAGTTCGCAGCTCACATTCGCGATCGAAGCATTGTTTAGCGAGAAGTCGATAGCTAATATCGGTGGAGTGAGTCGATGCACGCTAACCTGCACGACGAGGGGGAGGGAGGGAGAGGGAAAGAGGAAGAGGATTTAGGGGGACGAGCAGAATCCTCGTCGTCGCCATCGTCGTCGTCGTAGTCGACGTCGTCGAAGTGATTTACATGCATGCCGAGATGGCTTTTACCGTTCGTGAACGTGTTCGTAACACGTACAACGATACGTAGCTCGCGTTCGTGCACGGGTATGGGAGTATTTGTATATGTGGATATGCGTGTGCACATACAGGCTACATCCACTGTCGGCTAGCTAACGCCGAAATCCGGGAATTGGGTTTCGCGTTGGCGGGCGCGTCATTACTTTGTTTATGTGAACGAGAACGCGCTGAGACAGCGAAGAAAAAGTGTCCCGTACGAGTAGATCCGGACGGGCTAATATTTACCGGACGGATGGTAGCGGAGCGGTAGCGCGAGAGCATAGCGTTTCACGATTTTTTTTGCCAGCTTTATGCATGCGGCTGATCCACTTTGTGTGAACGACGACCAATCGTCACCCGCCCCCGCGCTGCCTGCATTGGCAGCATACCAATACCAAACCGATTTCCGTTTGTTCGTTCGACCGATGTACTTTGCTTGCTACGAGGTATTTCTTCTCTCTTGTCACTTCCGTTTCGCTCTGTCTTTCTATCAAAGAGAAAGATTCGCGCGAGAGGATAATGCAAAGATGGTTTTAAGATAAAATACAGAGAAAAGATTAAAATAGTAGTAAGGATATAAACAACATAAATAATATAAAGGAGATTAAGATACCTATATCAAGATAAAAAGAGAGATTAAGTGCATTAAAAAAATTGTTTATTTTGTTAAAAAGAAATTTTCGTTGTAAAATTTCAAAAATTATAATATTTAAATAAATAATTGGCATATTGAATAATTTGAAAATAGTACGCTATCGAATCTGCTTAAATGAGTAAAACAAGGTAAAATTATCCTGTGGAAACAATTACATTTCATAGTTAATTTAGAAAATGGTATTGACTTATTGATTCTCTCTAGAAACAACGATCCAATCATCATGGTTTGTTGAATGATTAATTATATCAATTTCAAGATTAACTGTAACATTGATAACTTGGAACTTCTCTCTGTCATACCTATGTATCAATTTTTAAACCCTCCTCCATCTGCAATCTAAGTCTTTTTTGACACAAACGAAATTTCACTCTCAAATTTCACGCTCATTTTTGCTCATCAACTTTAATTTTGATTAAATAAAGGTTGTAACATTTGAATTAAAAAAAAACCTATTTGGTTATATAATAGAGATATTGAAAAGAAATCCTGATTCTTTTTGAAAACTTATTACAATAAACAGCTTATAATATATTGTAAAATCTTGGACTGAACAAGAGATTCAGATTACAGTCGGAGGAAGTAAAAATATGATTACAGAGGTTTAAATTGGTCACATCTCTAGCATTCTTATATTTTCTTTCAACGATTTCATCGTAATTCTTGTACAAATTCTCGGCGATTATTGATATTTCCCTATGACCTTGAACAAGACGTCGTCAGAGACGAAGACGTCGATTCGAGTAAGAAGACAGGAAATGTACCGCGTATACCGACTAACATAAGTATGAGAAAAAGCGATGAAAGAGTGAGGGCAAACGGAAAGTGAAAAGAAAGAAGGAAAGTGAAAGGAAGGAACTGCGCCTTTTCGAATACGCGCTTTGCATAAATTTTACATCGACTGTAAATCCACGAATGGATTTAATGACGCTTTAACGCTGGATCTAATGATCGCGATGCATAAACTGCTGTGCACATCATTATGAAGTGATATGCGTTGCATGTAATCGGGAACCGCCAATGAACTAATAATATTTTGCAACCGACTGCTAGAACATTGATCTCGCAAGAACATTGAGTCGATTTAGAGTCGATCGTCATTAACCTGTTTAAAATATACGGTAATAAAAAGATCGATTTTGCAATAGTCGAGGTACAAATTATAGTCAGATATTTGAAAAATTAGATAAATGTAATATTAGAGGCAACATATCTTTTTGTTTGGATTAAGTCTAGGAATAGCAAATGCGAATCTAAGCTAAAGTTTTTTAGACAACGCGTTCTTTAGGGATCGCGTTTCTCAAAGATTTTCTCGACACGCGTCTTGCGTAGAAATTCGCTGCCGAGAGATTTAGACAGCAACATTGGAGACAGAACGATAGAGGAGAGAGTGGTAGCCATTCTGGGCGCTCATTCATTCGCACAAGTACAAAGTACGCTCTCCCAGCGGGATGAAAGATCGGGCGTCGATGCTAAAACGCGGCCCTCCGCCTGGACCTGCTAATGGATTCTGCACTCCGATGTCATCCTCATCTTTTTTTCACCAACTCCGGTTTGAATCCATACACTTTCCGCTTTCTGTGCCTCGATTTCAGGTGCTCGCATTTCGCGTTTTCACATAGTATAATTATGTAATAGGGCAAAATTAAATTGATATATTGTACATATATATTTTTTTTCTCATTCATCCATGCAATGAAGAAAAAAGTTCGGATATTTTGTGATTGCATCTATTATTACGTTAGACACTGGAAATCAGCGCTACGTCCAAGTAAGACGTAAGTATTTAATGGGTAGCGCTTAAATACTAAATGAGAAGAAAAAGAGATCAATATAATCGACATAGATCCTCGGAGAAATGAAAAAGACA